TATAATTAGATAAAAGTAAAATCAAGATCAGAATTACACAATATCGGGGAGTGCGTGGCTTAGTACGAGTATATAGAACCATTTTAAAGTTCATCACAATCAATACCACAAAATATTAAATAGACATCAGACCTCAACCCATAAGAGTTTCAACAAAGTAATTAACTCATTTTAATTCATCTTCTCATGGAGTGCTAGCCAACAACAAGGATGGCCTTATCTGAATATCTTTGAAAATTTAAAAAAATTATATTAAGTCAAATTCTAGGGACAAAGAGATTATACATATGTCCTTAGTAAGAAGTACAGTTCCCAAAATGACATATGTAAGAAGTACACATATGTCATTTCTTTTGAATTTCAAAAAAAAAAAANCAAATAACTTATTAATTACTCAAAAATATCATTAGTTTAAAAAATTAGCACACACCAAATAAGATCCACCAATATAATGTCACATCTAACCAAAATCTAGAGAGAGGCATAGAGATCCACACCACTAATATTTGTTGCATTTTGATTTCATGCCATTATTATTTGAAAACCTCATCATCTATAAAGGAATAAAAGAGAAAAGGAAAAGAAAAAGAAAAAGAAAAAACAAAGCTGAGCATACTATTCTTAATCGGTTAATTTCAACAAAAACTAGATTGATCAAATGAGTTTTNTGGTCTGCAATTTATCAAATTACTAAGGAGATCAGCATAGGTAGTGCATATTATGATAACTTAGGGAAATTATCCCATCAAAAAATCATCTGGAAAGGCATAGATATTTGAAAGGAAATTTTCAAGTTTTCATTATATATATATATTCAGATCAATCAGTATCGAATTTATATTGGGTTATGTATGTTTAGTGAATTCAGAACTCTACTACAAATGAGGAATAGAAAATTAATGGCAAATCCATTATATTTCATAGCAAAGCCTTTGGTGATTCATTTTATAAGTTTGTTTCTACTGCAATCTTAATTCATAATCAAGTTATTTTACTCTATGCGAAATTGAACCTTTAAAAGCATTGTTTTATTTAGACTTACATTTGTCTTCTTTCAAAATTAATCTCCAACTGAAGTTACCATTGTGAAAATTATTTAGAATTTGCTTTTAAAACTATAAGAAATAGCAATAATATTCTTTTAAATATCCTAATTGTCACAATTTTTTAAGATTTTAAGAAATTCCTAAAATTCTAGTTTCTCTAAATGTTATTTTGCCACCCAAGACATAACCCTCCCCAATCCCAACCATATCCCTCCCCCCCCCTCTCAAAACCCAACTCCAATGGAAAAATGTAAAAACAAAAACAAAAAAAAAACAAAATTCATGGTTTCACTCCATATTTGAAATACATGAATGAACTAGTTATGCAATTAATTCACTTCAGTTAACAACCTATTGATGATAGTTAATTAAATATCCTAAATGTAAGTAACGTAAATCGTAGCAACATACGTGGATGATGAAATTGGCATAATGTGAGAAATCAATCACTGTGGATGACTGCTCGCAAATGAACCAACATCCAATAGAGCACTTACAACTTAATAAGTAGCTAATATTAGAGAATAAGAGAAAATGCTTATCACATATGTGAGATATTAAGACCAAGATTAGATCAAATGTTCAGTGAAACAAATAACTTATTAATTACTCAAAAATATCATTAGTTTAAAAAATTAGCACACACCAAATAAGATCCACCAATATAATGTCACATCTAACCAAAATCTAGAGAGAGGCATAGAGATCCACACCACTAATATTTGTTGCATTTTGATTTCATGCCATTATTATTTGAAAACCTCATCATCTATAAAGGAATAAAAGAGAAAAGGAAAAGAAAAAGAAAAAGAAAAAACAAAGCTGAGCATACTATTCTTAATCGGTTAATTTCAACAAAAACTAGATTGATCAAATGAGTTTTGGCCATAAATTTTAATATTGTATTCTAAACAATTTATTTTTGTTGAAAAATAGCGCACTATAATCCGATGATTAAAAAATTCTTTTATTTTTTTCAACATTAATTTGGTTCGGTGAAAACATTCATATGGTAGGTCATAGTATTCTAGTACTTAAGAGAAAAGCAATGCTCAATGGAGCAGAGCCGAATCCGAGAAAGTTTTTATTTTAGATAGTGTTTTAGAGAAATGTGGAAGAAATTGTATATACTATTTAGTTTTCTCTTATTTTTTGCCAAATTATTGATTTTTTTGCTCAATCCACAAAGAAATAAGGTCATGAAATTGATGAATATAAAACAAACCTGATTGCTTGATTTTTGTTGCTTCATTTCACTAAAAGATGATGGAAGGGATGTGTTGGGAGTCTGTCAAAATCTTCTCCTTCTTTCCCGTCTACAATTCGAATCTTTTCCGTGAATTCATTGGGCATATTCCCAATTGTCAACACTTGGAGATTAGTGACGAACTTCAGTCCCTCCGGAAGCCTCTGCAATCTGGCGCAAGAAAAGATTGTCAAAGTAGAAAGATTGGGCATGGCTCCTTTATCCATCCTCCACTTTTGTAAATTGCTTAAATTAATCAGTACAAGCCTTTTGAGTTGTGGAAAGCCCTTAGCAGAGCAGACAATTTCCTCCCCAGCAAAGATGTCTGTCACCAACTCAAGCAAGTTGAAGTTAGGAAGCTTTTCCAACGTTGCCATAGGGTCTTCTTCAAGTTCAGATCTATACAAAGATAGTTGGGTAAGACTTGAAGACAAATGGGTGTGCTCAGGTAACTTACCTATTGTCCCTTTTATAAGCAACTTATGAAGTTCAGGACATCCCAACAATTGGGTTAGCAGAGTTAACTCGTCTTCAGAACAAAATTTACATTCAATTTCGAGGGATAAGTTTCGAAGGTGGGGTGGGTGATGTTTCCTAAATATTTAGAACATTTACCTTCCATAATAATAGGATATCGGCAATCCTTAAATCAAATGTTTTTGCAAGTGTTTTAAGTTGCCTAAAGATGATGGGTAATCAATGAAAGAAGACCCTCTCAAACTCAGGTACCGCAAATGGATTAGATTACCTATTCCTTTTCATGACTTCCAATGATCAATGATCATGCAGGGTGCTTCAATAACTTTAAGATTTGAACTAGGTGTCAATCCTTCAATGGCTAAAACTCTGAGCATCTTGAAGTTGTTAAATGAGGATTTCATCATCGGTGAGATACGTCCATCATACTCATTTGATATAAACACCAAAACTGACCGGAGGTGTTGGGCTGTTTTCTTTTTAGGGGGGAACATATGGGCTTAAATCTGCCCCACCCAAATAAATGGCATGCCTACGAGTATTATTGGTTGAAGCAGAGGATTCCACTGGCTCGTGATCATATAATCAATGACCTTGAGGAAATTATCCTCTTTTCCCTTGGACGAGCATAGGTCCCGCATGAGATCATGAAGGCGACAAGATCTAAACCTTCTAATGGATAACTCCTCCCCTAGTCGCACTTGAACTATGCACCTCTGTGCTAATTCACCAAAGTAACGTTATGCTATATCCATCATTGTTTCAGCTTTTGATTTGTCATCTGACAACACTATACCTTCAGCCATTCACAATTGGTATAATCTCTCAACCTCTATCTCAGAATCTTCCTCGAAATTGCCCAAATAAAGACTCACTCAAGGCCTCTTTTGTGGCCAAAAGTCCTCCAAGAACAACCACAGCTAATGGAAGACCCCCACAATGTTTAACCATTTTCCTCCCTAACTCCATTTTTTGAACATAACTCAGGTCTGCAAAACAACAAATAAAATAAAATAAAATTTCTTAAGTGGCAGAAATTATGCACAAGATTGCTGAGAAACTTTTGATTGCCTCCCGAGTATGTAGGGTTTTTCTTTGGCCGTGGAAACAAGCAAATTAATATTAAAAAAAAAAACTTTGTCTGTCTTTTGAGAATATACGTAGAACTTTTTATATTTATACGTAGATAAATGAAGCACATACTTTCATTTGCTCACTTAATTAAAAGGTGAGATAATTGAATAGTTTTTTTAGCACGGTACTTTCACTATATCTATATATATATATATAATAAAATAAAATAAAGTTTGAATTCTGAAGACAAAGAGAGGTTCAGATCGTTTTACGACAAAATATAAATAAATTCAATGTACAAAGTAATCCCAATATAAAAGACGATTAATACCATTTCAAAAATTTTAATCAAACGATCTACTAAATTTTGTATTCCTGCCTCACAAAACTTGCTAAATCACGCCTCTGTCTCTCTCTCCCAATCTGNGTGATGTTTCCTAAATATTTAGAACATTTACCTTCCATAATAATAGGATATCGGCAATCCTTAAATCAAATGTTTTTGCAAGTGTTTTAAGTTGCCTAAAGATGATGGGTAATCAATGAAAGAAGACCCTCTCAAACTCAGGTACCGCAAATGGATTAGATTACCTATTCCTTTTCATGACTTCCAATGATCAATGATCATGCAGGGTGCTTCAATAACTTTAAGATTTGAACTAGGTGTCAATCCTTCAATGGCTAAAACTCTGAGCATCTTGAAGTTGTTAAATGAGGATTTCATCATCGGTGAGATACGTCCATCATACTCATTTGATATAAACACCAAAACTGACCGGAGGTGTTGGGCTGTTTTCTTTTTAGGGGGGAACATATGGGCTTAAATCTGCCCCACCCAAATAAATGGCATGCCTACGAGTATTATTGGTTGAAGCAGAGGATTCCACTGGCTCGTGATCATATAATCAATGACCTTGAGGAAATTATCCTCTTTTCCCTTGGACGAGCATAGGTCCCGCATGAGATCATGAAGGCGACAAGATCTAAACCTTCTAATGGATAACTCCTCCCCTAGTCGCACTTGAACTATGCACCTCTGTGCTAATTCACCAAAGTAACGTTATGCTATATCCATCATTGTTTCAGCTTTTGATTTGTCATCTGACAACACTATACCTTCAGCCATTCACAATTGGTATAATCTCTCAACCTCTATCTCAGAATCTTCCTCGAAATTGCCCAAATAAAGACTCACTCAAGGCCTCTTTTGTGGCCAAAAGTCCTCCAAGAACAACCACAGCTAATGGAAGACCCCCACAATGTTTAACCATTTTCCTCCCTAACTCCATTTTTTGAACATAACTCAGGTCTGCAAAACAACAAATAAAATAAAATAAAATTTCTTAAGTGGCAGAAATTATGCACAAGATTGCTGAGAAACTTTTGATTGCCTCCCGAGTATGTAGGGTTTTTCTTTGGCCGTGGAAACAAGCAAATTAATATTAAAAAAAAAAACTTTGTCTGTCTTTTGAGAATATACGTAGAACTTTTTATATTTATACGTAGATAAATGAAGCACATACTTTCATTTGCTCACTTAATTAAAAGGTGAGATAATTGAATAGTTTTTTTAGCACGGTACTTTCACTATATCTATATATATATATATAATAAAATAAAATAAAGTTTGAATTCTGAAGACAAAGAGAGGTTCAGATCGTTTTACGACAAAATATAAATAAATTCAATGTACAAAGTAATCCCAATATAAAAGACGATTAATACCATTTCAAAAATTTTAATCAAACGATCTACTAAATTTTGTATTCCTGCCTCACAAAACTTGCTAAATCACGCCTCTGTCTCTCTCTCCCAATCTGACACGTCTCTANAGTGAATGTAGTTTGGGGTGCTGTCATTTTCTTTTGAAACTTGAGTTGGGTACTTGGCATGTCTACTCTTTTTTGTAATGTGATGCCTATACTTTGATTACTCATCTTAATGGCTTCAATTTTTTTGAGATGAAGGATTTTTCTGCATTAGCATTGGGCAAAAAATCGAGTTCCAGTGTTCAATAGCACAGTTTTGCACCCATTGACTTTAATCTGAATGTTGGCAAATGAAAGCATTGTGCTGAGGATTACAGGCATACTATAAGAGTATAGATGGATTCAAATCTTTCTTACAGATTGATAAATTGTGTTTCCTTTAGCATTGAAGTGCATTAGCAATTCAAGGTGCGCCTCCCCCTTCTTCTCTTCTTTTCTCTTATAATTTATAAGAATTTTGACTCTATTTTTTGTGGGTCTGTTTGCTTCACTTGAGTTTCTTTTAATTGTGTGATTACGCTAATTCGCATTGCATTGATCAATGGGTTTTTGTTGCAAGTTTTAGTGCAATGGTTGGTAGGTTTTACTGCAATGGTTTAACTAAATGAAAAGTCTTGGGGGTTCATTTCAAAGATTTGAGGTGAGTCTCTCTCTCACACTCATGATCTGCTGCGGGATTTTTTTTTATTATTTTTTTTGTACCTGTTTTTATATTGTGAGTTTTGATGCATTTTAGTTGTTTGAAGTTTGTTTTCATGCTCTCAATTCAAAAAAAAAAAAAAAAAGTTTTCACGCTCATTAGCACTGCATAATAATTAGAATTTCCATTAGCTTTATACTTTCTTTATTCATTGGGGTTTGCTAGGGAATTGCTTGCTTTATTTATTGATTGTTTTGATTTGATTTGGTGTCAATTAATTGGTTAAAGTGGAGTAGTGCGGGTTTGCTTGGATTTGTTGAAATGATTTAAGCAAAATTTATACTGTCCTTGGAGGGACGTGGGTTTGCTTGGATTAGTTGTTGTGATTCAAGCATATTGTATGCCCTTAGTGGAAATAGCATGACTGTTGTTGGTATGTGGTAAAAATCCTTCTAAGTAGTCACCTAAGGTGAGATAGGATGACTATTCCTACATATGCATTTCAGTTTGTTGTTTGAGTTATGAGTTCCAAAACAAATGTCGCAGTTTACAATAATATTCATTATTGTTACTTTTTGTGGGCAACCGTGTTTATTATCGTAAGTTCCTATATTGGTAGTCATTTTTCCTTATTGTCTCCAGTTGTTCCATTTGACTCTTTTGAGGTTGGTTTAAATAAATATATATGTTATTTTGTGATGTTATAGTGTTTTTTTTTGACTCTGTGTATCTATATATATTAATACACATCTCTCCTTCTACATAAGAGTATTTTTAAATAGTATTTACTCTAATGATAATTTTTTTGTGTTACGTAAGTGCCTTCAGGTACGAGCATTAACTAGTATATATATATATGATAAACACATACCCTCACTTACTATACTTGGTAAAAAGAATGTTTATGTGATTTCGACATGTAACTTGTTATCAACTTATTTATCGATGAAATTAAGAGATTTTTAGCTTTCTATTTTTGAACAAAAATAAATATTTCTAAAATTTTCAACTATCAAGCACTTGTAAAAATAGTTCGCCAAAATTTAAAAATCAACTGCTCAATACAATTAATACCCAAACATAGAGCCCATTTGGCCGTTTGATTGGGTGGCCCCAAAATCAACGTTTTTTCGTAGTCCTTTTTCCTCAATCCTTCTACCAAATATCACCTTAAATTTTGAATATGAAATTCCTACCAAATGAAATATATATTTTTTTTTGAAGCAATATTTTTTGAATGTCTTCATCAACATTTAGTGCCTCCATGTACATGGACTTAACTGGCCCAGATGCTCCTCTCTCTTGTTTTTTAAAAAAGGGTATCAAACTAAGAAGCATGCATGTTTCTAAAAGAAAAACGTATTCGTATTAAAACTTGATAAATATACTTTGATTTGTGCCCGATACTTCTTCAATGTATCCATAATCTAAAAATAAAATCCTCAACTGTAGATACTCTGTTGATACTTCTTGCATACTCGCCAACATCACATTGATACTTTTTAGACATTAGCCAACATAAGACCAATAAATTTTACATTCGAAATATGACAAGTTTTATCACGCAAAAAAAAAAAAATAATAATTGCTAAAAGAAATCAAATAAATGCTAAATGAAACCAATTTACAAATATTATCATACCAAAAGTTAAGTGAAGATTTTTTAAAGTAAGAGGGGACGGAAAGTCATCATGATTAAAGGTATATAATTATACACATACAAATCTACTAGTTATATTTTTCATATATGACAATATTATATTATGAAATATGGTTTATCTTTAGTATATTATACTTTTATTATTATCTAAAATACTTATGATATTATTTTAATTAGTTGTAGTTTTTCTATCGATGCTTCCTAAAACCTAATTTACTAACCTAATCATTCATAATCATTGGACTAATAGTAAACCCTAATTTTTGTTGAGACTTGCAACTAATTTAATGATTATAATGAATTAAATCAGTATATTAAATTTAGATAACAACAAGTTTTACAATTTGTTATCAACGTAACTATAATGCACAGTACCGTGATAAAATACCTGTACTCTCTCGGTTTCTCAAAGCCTTCTTTTGAAGCAACTCCCAACTTTCATCTTCACTCAAAATTCGTGGTTGATAGAGGCAACCATTGGGATCTACTCGTGACGCCACTTCTATACTACGAGTGGTAAGTAAAATTTTGCTACCAGTCTTTCCAACAGGGAAGGCAGGTTTCCGAGCATCCGCTGACCAAATATCATCGAGAACAACAAAGCATCTTTTGTTTTGTTGGATTTGCAGAAGTTCCCTAACTAGCTCCTCATTTCTCCATTTCATAATTTCTTTACGCTTGTCCGGGACAAATTTAATTAGGATTCCTTGCAAAATATCATTTGTTTCCCATTTTTGAGATATACAAACCCAAGCCAATATATCAAAATGACGCTTTACATTTGGGTGATTGTAAATCTTTCTAGCAAGAGTGGTCTTGCCCAGACCCCCCATGCCACAAATGGAAACAACTTGGTCGTACTTGCCCCTATCTTCTTTCACCAAATGAACCACCAAGTTCTCAACATCTCTCTCCAACCCAACAAAATCCTCCTCAACAACATGAGAATAAGACCGCCTTAACTGACGTTGCCTTTCATGCGCAGAGCTTGAGCTTTCTCCTTCCTTTATTGTACTTCTTATGCCATATTTGTCTAACTGATCGGTGAGTTGAGAGATCCTGGTGTTAATACCTTGGGTCTCTTTCCCAACCTTGTGTAGGAGCATACCTTCATTCAATAAGCAAGCGAACCTTTTGAGGATGTTTAGGATACCTCCCCTCCTCTTGGATTGAACTTGGAGAACATAAGTCTCAAGGACATCTTCGGCATGATATGCAACTTCTCTAGCGCCTTCAACCCAAGTGCGGACGGGGTCGTCTTCAATTTGCCTTGCATCTGCATCTTTCAACAAGCTTTGCAACATCTTAAGTTCATGCGGAAGACCCTGTACCTGGCCGTCAACTCCGGCTAAAAATTCGGCTTCTTCTTTCAATAGATCAGTGAGCGTTTGCACAACAAAAGAGACAATAGCCTCAGACATTTTTTTTCCTGGCTGAGAGGCTAGTACAGTAGCTAGGAGTTCAATTCATTTGGAAATTTTCCGAAAATCTACGGTAGGTAAGAGGTAGGAGTTTGATTCATTTCTTTGTTGGAAATATGGGTACTTATAATTTAGTCTGGCCAATGATTGCAAATGTGAAGCCAAAGGTCTTGCGTGGACTTGCTTCCCTCCTGCGGATCATTTCATTGGTGCAATGGCCAGTACATTTTTTATTTATTATATACACAGGATCTAAAAAATTGATACAACTTTTTTACCTAGTGATAAGGTTAGATTTTATCACTTTACATATTATTAGTAAAAATTTTAGATATTTTTTTAAGTACGATTATAATATTCATCTTGAGTACCTAATTTCATCTCGAGGAGAGGGATGACGGTACCTAGCCGTCAACGCTTAACTCATTAATAAATTAAAATTTACCTTTTGTAACCATTTGAAGCATCGAATCAAGTCCATCAATAATATTTTTTATAGTTTTCCTCTTATTTTATGGGGGTAGTCAGAGTATTTGTGTTTTTTTGTACAAAAGAATGGTGATTTTATTGTCTTTTTTTTTTTTTCTTTATCATTGAGTCAATAGTATTCGACAGTGGTTCAATGATTCAAGGTTGTGATATTTTTAGAATTAGTCATTTGCGAAAAATTAATCCTTGAAGTGGTGGAGTCAAAAAATTAATTTCAAATGGGAACTTCGACAAGTTTTTTTTCTCCAATCCGATAAAAATCGGGTTATACATTATGTCATGCTTGATAATTACAAATTCAATTGACACTAAAGGGAAAAAAAGACGGTATAATAATATAAACAAGAGAAAAACAACAACAAAAGGATACATGTTGTACAAGAGAGATTTCAAAGGGGATGGTTGATCTTCTGAACAGGAGAAAAGAAGGCCCTTCATCCCCAAACCAAAAGAAAAAAAAGTATGATTACAAATTCCAAAAGGATCAAAGAAAGAAAAAGTGGGCAAAACAGCAATCTATACATTAACGCTTTAACAGTAACTTGAGCAAGTACCATCCAGAAACAAAGCAGCAACATCAGCATGCAACAAATGCCTGGCATCCATTTCCGCGTAATTCAAAGCACGCCAAATTAAAAATGTTATGGGACCCTGAGACGGATTTACAGTGGGGATAGTAGGGGCAGATGCCTCCACTGGAATTTTAAAAATATTTGGGGGAGTAAGATGAAATTTTAGAATTTGTTAAAAGTTGAACCCATTGGAATTTTAGAATATGTTAAAAGTTGCCCCCACTTAAATTTTAAAAATATTTGGGGAGTAAGGTGAAATTTTTGAAATTTTAAAATCTTTTAGAAATTGCCCCCATTGAAAATATTTAAAACTCAAGACTAGTTATGTATTTTCTCAAATATGTGGGGTTCTTTAGTTTTTAGCAACAACAAAAAGTACTTTTATTTTTACTTTTAAGATATCCGATGATTCCAAGAACTTTATTCCTACAATTCCGGATTTGGTCTCTTTGAACACATATATATTTTTTTGTTGTGTTATTTTTGTATGTTAAATTAATATAGAGAATTGTAAGTTGTTAAATTTAATGGGATTGTTATATTTAGAATTTATGGATTATTTTTTGAATTAAACCATTTGGTTCGCTAGGTTTGAAGAATCTGATTGTAAGAAATTAGGTTGTTTGTATGTCTAAGTTTGATTTACTAGACTTGTATTTATATTAAAAATTGTTTGACTTCCTAACCTATTTTGATTGATTGAGATTGAATAATGAATTATTTTCAATAAATACTTTTCAGCAAGGAATATAATACAAAGTCGAGAGATCAAGAGATGAATGATTACTTAACTGCATATGTCGAGAAAGAATTTTCAAATACCATTTGTGAAAACTTGTTAAAACAATTATGAAAATTTTCAAGAATTTGGATTTTTCCATGTATTGAATCAATTCATTATTGGGCACTATTTTTGTGATACAAAAGTATTTATTTCGTACAATTTTCTAGTGAACTTTTTTTATATATTGCTTGTTTATGTTATTTTGATAAAATTATACTTTTGTAAAATAGTATTAACACTCCGAGATTGAGTATTCATATATTGAAGGTTTCTCCCACGGGAGTTGGAGTCTAGCTCCACCCCTATGGGACCCAGAATTAATTGTTGATTATATTGATTTTAATTTTTTGTTAATTTATTCAATTTCAATCATTCATCCATGGTTATGTTCACAAGGATTCGATAGTGGTACCTTTGGGTCCACTTATAGCAAATAAATATAATGGTTAATGATTGAAGTTAATAACTGTTAGAATTATCACTTGTGAAACCTATATAAGTTAATGAACTACCTAAGATTTACGCTTTGAGATACACACATGAGTTTCAAAAGTATATATTAATCCTTGTTATTGGACATTCCTTTTATGTTCTAATAAGTGGTGTCAAAGCCTTGCTAACCAGAAAAGAATGGGTAAATTATTCTTTTGAACTCTAAGCCTTACTTTATACCTTTAATTGTAAAATTTTTCATATTGTATTTTAAAATATCAATTTTACTTCAAATTACTCTAATAGATAATAACTGTCAAATTTACTTCAAATTTTACGTGAATGCTTTTTTCAGATGAGGTCCAACCAAGGAGAAAGGATAAAATAAAAAGAAAGTTAGAAGTGAGAGGAAGTGAAAGGGGGTGAGAGCTAAAAAATTTACAATCCAGAATTAATTATGATGGTGGTAGTTCTAGGAAGGTTGAGAGCTATGTTTGTTATGAACATCACTAGTTGGAATATTAGAGCATTAGGGTCATGGAAGAAGGGAGCTACAATTAAGCCTTGTTTGGGAAGGATTAGATCGGATGTGATTGTTTTGCAAGAAACTAAGTTGGAAGTCATTGATCGGAGAGTTATTAGCGGTGTGTGGAGGTCAAGGTTTAAGAATTAGGTTTTTTTACCCTCTGTGGGGTTGTTCGGGAGGTGTTGTCATTGGGCCAAAACCTTAACAGATTTAAAAATAGGTTCTTCGGAAGCCGGTATATCTAATTAGACTTATTTAGCAAAACGTACATAGAACAAAATATTTTGAAAAAAAGTACACAGCTGAGATACAAAGACATAAATGCCCATTTTAGGGTTATTTAATTCAAAATCTCTTATCTTTAATGCACCTTGATTCATGTGTGTTTGTTAAATGCACATTGATTCAATTGTGTTGTTAATACATATAAATACGTATATATATACTTGTTGTTAAATTTTTTATCTAAATTTTGAATTATCTTTAATGCACCTTGATACATGAGTATTTTTTTTTTAGAAAATGATTTTGTTTTCAAATTATATTTAATGCACTTTGATTCATGCGTTTTTTTTAAAGTGGTTTTATTTTCAAATTAATTTAATATCCAAATATTGTAATAGTGTAACAATAACAGTAGGTATGCACTTTCCAAAAAAATGATACATAAATATATATATATATATATATGTGTGTGTGTGTGTGTGTGTGTGTGTGTGTGTGTGTGTGTCTATATATATATATGAAATTTCAAAATTCAAATAATACACAAATATTAAAAAGAATTTTGAAAGTCTTACATTTAAGTAGGTATGCATTATTTATGGTAGGGGTAATTATGGAATACATTTTAGAAAGAATTTGAAAATGTTTTAAAATATGTATTTATTGGCAACTATTTGATGAAAAAGATGACTTAAAAGAGGATAAATTTGAAGGTGGTACTTAAAGCCAAATAAGTTTTGAAAAAGTTAGTCACTTCCCATTATCTCTATTTTTTAAAATTCAAATCTGCTTCAAATCCACATTAACTCAGTAATCAGTAGATTTAGGGCCATTAATTACGGCAACCAACAAATTATCAACCTAAGTTCACCAACTCTATCCTCACCTTGCCTCCTATTGTTGCCACATGTACCTTAAAACCCTAAGACATCATCTTCAACCTCTTGCTCGTTGCACAAAAACTCTGTGCTACCTCTCTAATACAATTTATGTTTCTCCATGCGATTCAACCTGCCCAAATTCGATACCACCCTAATCTTTATGAGAAACAATTCCCCATTAAAATGAACCTCAAAAGATGTCTTGATAAGACCCGATTTAGGTTTATGGACTCGAATTAGAGCTTCAAACAAATTCTTGAAACTTTCAGATTTCGGATCAACGCCTATGAATCCCCCACAACAATCACCAATCCTCTTAAAAACTCGTGATGCCACAAATGAAATGGTAATCCTTCAATTGCAATCCACCCACCCAAAAATAACACATAACTTCTAGAAGCATTGAACTTATAGCTCCATTGTTGAAGCTTGACAGAGCCGCTACCCTATAACTGTAACGTTCTAGATTTGCAAATCCTATCAACCTATATGCTATCTTTATAGAAAAATATAGCTTTGTCTGCCTGAAATGCTTCCAAACTAAAACTCCTCTTCAGAACCTTACCCAACTGAACTTGTATAATCCTCCAAGGTACAAATAATCTTTTTGTAATACAAATCACAACACATCTCCATCTTTGTAGAAACACTTCATCTTCCTCAATCTTTTGTAGAATATTTTTGGTTTGAAAATTTCAATCCACCCCCTACTTCCTTTAGAATTTGCAGATGCTTTTGGTTGATGANATCTTTGTAGAAACACTTCATCTTCCTCAATCTTTTGTAGAATATTTTTGGTTTGCAAATTTCAATCCACCCCCTACTTCCTTTAGAATTTGCAGATGCTTTTGGTTGATGAAAATTGTGCGTGCTGATTTTTACACAATAGTTGAAGTAGGAACAAATTTCTCCCAGGATGAATTCTGGTTCGCCAAGATGGTAATTCTGGAAAAACGGGAATAGGTTCAGCGGGACAAAGGGAACCAGGGTGGTAGTGAAGGTTTGCTTTCAGGATGTTTGATCGCTTCTGGCTGAGATTTGAACTATTTGAACGTAGGTTCCGACAACAAGAAGTAGGTTGAGNAGAGGTT